AATGGTCTTGGAATAGGAAGTACTACAGTCTGAATGTTGACACGAGGAAGAACCTCCAAATTAGTGGGTGATCGTCTTACTACTGTTTCGACTTACTCATGTTCTGCTCAGTACGTGTCACTCTCCACCGCTGGTTCGACATGACAAAAGCGTCCAACCCGGTCGGCTGGTTTTGGCTCCCGGTTGACCTTGATATCCTCAGTAATATGCATGCCACCTACGTCGGCAATGTTTTTATCTTCCCTGTCCTCCCTGAAGCAAGAGACAAAATGAATGTACGGAAGGACCCAGAGTCTGTGTGTGCATTTCCACCCTGGCTAGAAGAACGAATACTGACCATCGTTAGTTCTACGGAAGATCTTGCAAGTTCCGCTATCAACTTATCCCTCTTTCTGGTATGGAGGCCTCGTGGTCAATCAAACGTTATACCGGCAACGCTCTTGGCCCATTCGATCCCAATCTCATAGAGCACAGCGCGTACCCCTTCACCAACCTCCTGCCCATTGAGCTCCATGTCCCGTACCACTTTGTCATCGTCAACACTGGCAAGAAACTCCGCCAACTATACGGCATGGATGCAATCAACTTTATGCCCTACGGGGGGAAGGATGAGGGAGGCCAAGCTCAAGATGATGCTGCCGGCTCATTTGGTGCGATGGGGCAACAACAGGCTGCTGACGAGTCCCTCGCACCTTGGGACTCAGCTTCTTGTCTCAAGGCTTTTGAGCCTAAGGATGGGGGAGGCCAGGCTCAAGATGACGCATGCGGCTCTTTTGGTGCGATGATGGGACAACAACAGGCCGCTGCCGAGTCCCTCACACCTTGGGAATCGGCTTCTTGCCTCAAGGCTTTCGAGCTTGCCGATGAAGGGAACGAGGAGGATGTGGACGATTCGTTTGTGGATGACGAGGACGACGAGTATGAGGACGAGGAGTTCTTTGAGGGCTTGAAGCAGTGGGCGAGCGATGTATGGACCGCGACACATTCTGACAGCGCGTCTGATTCAGAGGTGACCCTGGTCGGAGGGACCGCGGCACATGTTTCCTGCAAGAGTCTAGACGTGCCAGCGACTTTGGAAACACCACCGCTTCTTTCCGTCCAGTGACTGATGACTGTTCAGTTATCGACGTACAACCTTGTTTTTCTGTTATATGACTGCTGTGAGGCACCTTGTCAAGTGTTTGTCTAACACTATTCCCCAATTTATACTCGGCATTCCTCTTGATGGACACTGGACTTTATTGGTCTTGTCTCCGAATTTGACACCGTAGAGTTTGAAATGGACCCGATTTCCATCCTATGAGTGCCGTCAATGCCCACAACTTTGAATCACGTCACCTCGCCATCGCAAAACGCAACGCACAACTTTAACATCTTCAATAGTGCCATATTTGTTCAACCGCTCTCTGCAAAGCTTCTACATAGTGTGCAATTGAAGCAAGCGATGGGAGAACCTCCAAAGTCAGATGAACCTGTACTTTTGGCGGATGGACAGGACCTGAACCCCAAGCATAAACACCGTTGAGAATGAGTGCTTTCCCTTTTGGTCAGAAGCTGCTTAGCGACATTTAGATATTAGATTAAACCTATAACCAACTAATTAATATCCAATCTACGTTCCGCAGTCAAACATTGACTGTACCTTTTTTCGACATGGTTGAATCTTGAATCCCATGCCCCCAATTTCTGGTTCTTTGAAAATCCGATACGGACCCAGGTTAATCTAATCTCATCACCCAACTGACTGCAAATACGTGATGAAACCTCATCAGGAAAACTACACATCGACTTAGGCCGCTTAGGTAACTTTGACAAGTGCAGAAGTGGCGAAAGTGAACTCAAGTGACCAAATGACGGTCACTTGGCTATGTAGGTCCCTGTCTTACAAAGTGACTTGGTCTTGGGTAAGTGAGACTCAAGTGGGTAAGCTGTATTGCACAAAAGTGACCAAGTGACAAAGTAGTAGTCTCAAACTGTTCCGAATTGCACACAGGATGGTAAAAGTGGGGTAAAAGAGTATATTGAATGATACAAATGTCTATTTACAATGTACCAGCTCAAGGAACACGTAGAAAACCCCCCGTCTCACTCTTCAGCCTCACTGTCCTCTTCAAACAAAGATCCTCACACATTGAGGGGAGAAGCATTGGCACCTTGGGTGAGCGAAACGGATAGCGGTTTCTCCATGAGCCCGATTGCGTGTCAATTTGTTGATAGACTTGATGTAGTCCACGGTGCTGACGGCCCAGTTGTCTTCCGAGAAATTTGCCTCTTCCTTACAAACCAGGATGCCGGCAGTAGAAACCCCCGTGACCTGGAACCTGAACGCGCGCTCAGCCTGCACGAAAATATGGTCATGCAGAAGGGAAGGGAAGAGGAGATGTACCCAACTGTGAATAGGCATAGCG